GGAATAAGATTAAATATGATCGAGGTGGTACAACTTCATTATTAAGAATTGCTCATGAAAATCATAAATGTTATGCTTCATTACATTAAGTGACGAGATGGTTGGGAACAACTCTGAATGTACATTTTGTTTACTGTCATTATAACCCCTTTTCACTTAAGTGTCTTATGTTATTCATTTTCATACTGTTGTTGTAAATATGCTTATTGTAGTTGTTTACATGTCAATTATAAAGTGCTACTAAGTAATTGAATTTGAATGTGTGCATGTATAGAGACTCATGATAAATGGGTAGTTATTTTAAGAACCAACTATACTACATCTTTTATACAAATGGAGGATTTAAAAGTATGGGTGGAAATATTATTTATGAGGGTGGTGTTATACTTGGAAGATGGATAACTAAAGGGGTGACGTACGAAGGAGTTAGAAGTATTGTAGCAAATGATCTATGGCCTGAATCTTCCATGTATACTACATCTTCCATGTAACTTGGGAATCAACTATACTGCATTTTTCATGTATAGGGGGTACTTAAAAGTGTGGGTGAAAATATTATTTATGAGGATGGTGTTCTACTTGAAAGATGGATAACTAAAGGGGTGACATATGAAGGAGTTATAAAAGTATTGTAACAAATGATATATGGCCTAAACGTAAGGATTTTTTCCTGAAGTACGAAGTCATCCCAGCTAAAGATACATTATTAGATCTTGTGGATGATGTTAGAGTAAATAAACTAATTGAGGAGAATGAAACTAATGGTCATGTATATCTTGCACAAACATCATAGTTGGAGTTCCAAGAAAATTAAGTTGTCAATTTTAATGAAGTTGTTGATTTCCCTTCTAGTTGACATATACTAAGTTGTTAATTTTCTTTGTTACTTGTTAATATAGCATAATGGAGTTATTAGGACTTAAGGAGGGAGGTTCATTCAGTCCTCCCAATTTTAAGACAAGAAGCACTCCTTACCCTTACAAAGTACGGTAACTTGCATTTAAAGCTTGCAAAAATCCTTCAATATAAAAAGCTTAAATGAACAAAGTTTGTCTATACTGATCTCTTAGATGAATGTTTTAAAGTGGAAGGATTTGATTATGTTGGCTAGGAAGACATTTTCTCATGGAGATGTGTTTAAAGATGTGTTATTCAAATATAGGTAACTCATAACTTTTCATATGTCTTTAGGAAGAACTATAGGAATAGGATAACTGTAACGTGTGAGGTAGAGAATTGTTGAAAAATCTCAACAAATTAGGTGAGTAAGGAAAATTCATGGTTACATATAATGAGCTAGAACATCTGCATACTACACAAGACAACCTTGTTTCCCACATAATAAGATGTAAACTGACTTCTAGAATTATAGTAAATAAGTTGAGGTCCAACATTAACAAGCCACCTAATGAGACATGAAAAGACTTGGAAAGAGATTATAGGACGAGGCTCAACTCTTAACAAGCCCATAAGGCAAAACAAAGGGTATTGGCAAGCTTCCATGGTATTCCAAAATATTCTTATATGATAGGCCCTTAAATATGTGAAAGGTTGCGACAAATCGATCCAACTACAGTGGCCAAATAAGTTGCTTCATTTGACAATAAATTTGAGCAACTATTCATTAGAAGTTGTATACATGGGTTTTTAGAAGGTGCTTAACCTATTATTTATGTAGATATATGCTATTTGAGTGGACCATACATAGGGACTCTGTTAGAAGCCCAAGCCTATGATATAAACAATTAGTTGTTCCTTCTTGTCTATACGATTGTTAGTGGCAAAACTCTTAATAATTGAACATGGTTTTTGCACAACTTAAAAGAGATAATAAGTAGTACAGTTTTAACAATTGTGTCTGATAGACTTTCATCTATAATAGGTGCAATTAGAGTTATATTTGAAAGGGAGCAACATGCATATTATTATTGGCATATGAAGGAAAACTTTAGTAATGAGTTTCTGAAATTGACTAGGGGAAAGAGAAAGGTGATAAGATTAGCAACGTAAATAGCGTTGAAGTTGCTAGATGTAGTTGCTTATGCAAGATGTCCTAATGAGTTTGATACGACTATAGAAATTGAATTCCAATTGTGGCTATTGTCTTAAAGTGCTCGCTTTAGAACTGGTTTAGGCTTGCAAAATCCTATATGAGCTTCTTTTCTCAAAATTGACTATATCATTAACCCGGTGCTTTGTCCACTCTTTCATTGCTTTTGTATCAGAAAATTCATCCCCTTCAAGCAAGGGAAATTTTGGCAAAAAAGAAACGATACACACAAACAATTCAAATAATCCAAATAAACAAGTGTAGTGAGAGGATCCACAACTAAACATTGGGGAGCAAACAAGTCTTCATACATATCACTAACAAGTACACACAACCACTAATGTTTCTTGTGCCCTTTGGATCACTTGTCTTTAACAATTATTGGTACTTTTGTATTTCTTTGCTCAGCTTATCCAACACAAGAGTTACCGAATCAAATTTATCCCAAATGTTTCTAATGAACTCTAATATTTCTACCATCTTATTGCTTAGCAATAGATTAGCAATAGAATAAAGCAGAGTACCAAGCGTATAAAGTATGAATAAAGCCTCAAATTCCTCCCTTACACTTCCATACATTATCTTCTCCTTTATTAAATTATAATTCTCATGAAAGTTCTTCCTCGACATGCTCTCTTTTTGTCCCCCCTTATGTGCTACCTTAACTTGCTCACCTTCATAGGGTAACCTTGATAAGTTGTTCATGCCTACATGCTTTATTTGCATCTTAGTGTCAACTTCTTAGTGGGGGGTCAAAAGCAAGTATGATCTTCTTAAACATGCCATGTGGTATGCTCTTGCAAGTTATGTCTTGTAAGTGGCCAAAACCAATATGTCATCAACCATTTTCTTTAACGAAGCATCTACTTTTACATATTTAGCAATCTCTGTAAACTTTATAAGTGAACACTGAGTGGTAAAGGTGCCAAATACTTCTTTGTCTCTAGCCTAGATGCCAAATACTTATTCCTCCATACTTCCCTCTTCTCATTTGTCAACTTCTTCCATTCTTCAGCTGCCTCATTCAAATGTCCCCTTTCCTTTTCTACTTTCATGAAACCTCAGTACATATAGATGCCACCTTATAATACCTTTCTTACTATTCTTTGCCCTATAAAAAAAATTAAGTTTTTAGAAGATAGCAACCATTTTGTTCCACAAAAAATTTCATCATGAACAACCTAAGTAGGCTAATTAATCACTATTATTTGAGTAACGAACAACTTAGGTGGGGTTATTTACAACTCCTATTTCTTCATGATGATTCAATCACTTGTTAATTTACATACCTAAACTTGTTCATTTGATCACATTTCTTGTTTATTTCTCTAACCTAACTTGTTCATCTCCCTAACCACACTTGCTCACAATTACTATTTAGGTAATGAACAACTCAAGTAGGGTACTTAACAACTACTATTCAGGCAATGAATAACATGACTCAACTAATTCCAACTTCGTTGATTTAGAAATCAAGACATTAACTTTCACTATTTTTCTCAATTTGAGATAAGGATTTCACTAATGACTATTACAATCAAGAGACAATTAAACTTACATTGTCATGCTTCTATTAGATCTTGCAACTACCCATAGTTCTTCTTCTGTCAAATGCTCAATGAAACCATCTTCTACGTCCAAGTTTAGGGAAAAACAACCTTGACCAAAAAAAGCTACGAGGTCAGAGGCAGCTAGTGGCTGACCTAGTGGTGACTTATTCAATAGAGATTCTTAGATAAGAAGACAGGCAATAGAGGTTTCACTCATAAACTTTGTGAACTTCACTAAGTGCCTTGTCTTCTACATGCTCGCAAGACCTATTTGCAAGACATTTTTTTTTCTTTGTGGACAATTTTCTCACAATTTCAAATCAAAGTCCTAACCTTCTAGTGAGATATTAGAATTTTTAAGGTCTTCTTTTTCATTATCTACGGTCAGGAGGTCCTTAATGAAATTTTTCCAAAAATTAATCATTTTGTCACATAGTTTTAATTTAATTATAATTCAATTTTGACTTATTATAAGTCAATTTTTATAATTTATCTCGATTGCATCTCAATCTCTAACTTTGAACTTGGTGCAACTTATTCTCTATAATTTTAACCATTTAAAATATTGATCTTTATATTTTAGAAAATAAAATTGTAAAGATTAAAATTATTTATAATCTTTTTCCATAAAAAAATTATTTATAATCTCTATAAAGATTAAAAGTATAAATAATTTAAAATATTAGTCCTAAATTTTAAAATAATTTTAATTTTTATAATTTTATTATTAAAATATAATATCAATATTTTAAATAATTAAAATTATATAAATTGAATTGTTTTGAATTAAATTTTATAGATTAAATTGCAACTGAGTTACAAGTCAAAATTTATGCATGAGTTATAATTGAATCGTTTTAAAAGGTGTAGGCACGAAATTCCTAGTCAGTGTGCGTAAAAGTTTAGTCATCAGATCAAGTCGTCAAAATGTGTGGAAAATTAAAGATATAAGATTGTATGACGAATTATTCTTCCAAACTAATTGCCTAATTTGTTTGACTGTTCTCCGAGCTTTATTATATACATGAGTGACAGGGAAAATGATAGTTAGGTTTTAAAATTTTAAATTAATGATATTAAAGTTTGTAATAAATTTTTTTAAACATAAATTGTAAATATAATTTTCAAATTTAGAAATTTTAATTGTATATAAAACATTTAAATTTTAAATATAATTCTCACATTGAAATTTAAATATTTTTTCTGTAATTAAAATTTTTCAATTTACATTTGTTTAAATTGATATTGTTACTTATTCTTGAAAAAATTATCAAAAATCTAAACGTCATTAATTCAAAGTTTGAAGATATCTCCTTATCAATGCTTGAAATGATATGTAGCCATTCAGCTTGACCATACATATCATTTTACTTGGCCCTGCGCTAGTATACTTTGTTTTGGCCATGCTTGAGCTTCCTTTAAGCTTAAGCGGAACCAGAATGGTGCCAAAACTTGTGGTTCTGTATTTGTTCCTCTGTTTGGCTAATATAAGCTTATGCGAGGCCAGAATCAGACATTACAAATGGGATGTGAAGTATGAGTACAAGTCTCCTGATTGCTTTAAGAAGCTTGTTATCACCATTAATGGCAGAACTCCTGGACCCACCATCCTCGCTCAGGAAGGTGATACTATCATTGTTCAACTTAACAACAGTTTGTTCACAGAAAACCTTGCCATTCACTGGCACGGGATTCATCAGGTAACGCTTTTGATACGGTTTAAATCATATTTTCTTCATATTAACTTCTCTTTAATTACGTAGTTCTGTACATGGCAGCATGGAACTCCTTGGTTCGATGGTACAGAAGGGGTGACTCAGTGTCCTATACTGCCTGGAGACACATTCAAGTACCAGTTTGTTGTTGACAGAGTAAGTTGCAGGCGTCTGAAGTTCATTTCAATCTGAGCCATTAATTGATTTTTCTTCAATGAAAGAAAAATTGTTATATATATGTATGTATGTATGTATGTCTAGAGAGATTGTTTAATTTGCAGCCTGGGACGTATCTGTACCATGCACACTACGGAATGCAAAGAGAAGCTGGATTGTATGGAATGATCCGAGTGTCACCTCGTGATCCTGAACCCTTTACTTATGACTATGAACAAAGCATTATTCTTAATGATTGGTATCACCGAAGTACCAACGAACAAGCCACGGGATTGTCGTCAAAAACTTTTGTCTGGGTGGGAGATCCTCAGGTACATCACTCAGCTTTTCACTACCTGAAACTGGTTCATTTCAAAATCTACCGATTCAGATTTTACTTTTTGTTCTCTGCAGTCACTTTTGATCCAAGGAAAAGGAAGATTCGACTGCTCTAAACTCACAGCTCCAAGCTTAGACGCTGGACTCTGCAACTTATCAAACCCAGAATGTTCTACCTATGTACAGACAGTGATCCCTGGAAAAACTTATCGCCTCAGAGTTGCTAGCTTGACTGCTTTATCAGCACTCAGTTTTCAGATTGAGGTCATTTTTTTGGTTAGGTTCTCATAATTGCCTAGCTATGCGTCTTCAAATATCGGCCTTTTGACTGGTTTCTTACATGCAGGGCCACAACATGACTGTAGTGGAAGCGGATGGCCACTACGTTGAGCCTTTTGTCGTTCAAAACCTGTTCTTGTATTCTGGAGAGACATACTCTGTTCTTGTGAAAGCAGATCGAGACCGTTCCAGGAATTACTGGATCACTTCCAATGTTGTTAGCAGAAACAGAACCACCCCACCTGGTCTGGGCATTTTCAATTACTATCCCAACCATCCACGGCGGTCCCCTCCGTCAACTCCGCCGTCTCCCCCGGCTTGGGATGACGTTGAACCCCGGTTGGCTCAAAGCCTCGCCATTAAAGCTCGCTCAGGCAGCGTAATCCAACCACCGCCAACCTCAGATAGAGTCATAGTGTTGCTCAACACGCAGAATACAATAGATGGTTATCGACGTTGGTCGGTGAACAATGTGTCGCTCACTCTTCCTCGCACCCCTTTCCTCGTTGCCCTCAAACACAACATCACCGACGCTTTCGATCAGACCCCACCTCCTGATGGCTACGATTCTCTTGGATATGACATCTTCAAAGTGGCTAACAACACGAACGCCACTTCTAACAATGGGATTTACAGGCTAAAGTTCAACACGACGGTTGATATTGTACTTCAGAATGCCAACACCATGAATAAAAATAACAGTGAGACGCATCCATGGCATCTTCACGGGCACGACTTTTGGGTTCTGGGGTATGGGAAGGGTAAGTTTGATGTAAACAGAGACCCAAAGAAATACAATTTGGTGAATCCGATAATGAAGAACACGGTGGCAGTGCATCCGTATGGATGGACAGCTTTGAGGTTTAGGACGGAGAATCCAGGAGTGTGGACATTTCATTGCCATATAGAAGCTCATTTCTATATGGGGATGGGTGTGATTTTTGAAGAAGGAATTGAGAGGGTGGGAAAGCTGCCTTCTTCCATCATGGGCTGTGGTAGAACCAGAGGCTTTCGCAGTAATAATACTCCTTGATAGATTCTACTTCATGTTGAAGGACGCACCAGCTAATTTAGACTAATTGTAAACAATGAGTTGTCTTAGCAGTAGCCGTGAAATTTGGCATTGACATATTTGTATTTGTGCATGCGATTATGTACATCTCTCCTCCCTATCAAAAAAAGGGTTTCTTTTTTTAGGGCTAACTTTTTTTTTTTTTTAATAAGGAAACTATATTAAACTAGTTTAGGAGAGGAGAGGAGAGGATTGGAGATAAAATGGGGAGAGCAGGCAACCACTCCTTTTTCCCTCTCTTCTTCTTGTTACTTTAATTTAATATTTTATAATATCTTTCAGTTATGTAATCATTTTTTGTTCCGGTTTAATATTTTATGATATCATCATCATCTTAAATAAAAATACATAATTAAATTTGAACTGTTAAAAATTGATTTGAACAATTTAAAATTGTAAACTATTATTAAAATATTTTATAGAGTGATTTTTTTAAAAATTAATTATAGTTTTAAATTGTTCATATATAAATTTAACAATTTAAATTTATTTTTATATATAATAAAGAGTGCTAGAGAGTAAAGAAGTTGAGTAATGAGAGGAAATTAAAGTGAGGGAGATAGAGTGACATATGTTTGATTTTTAATTATTATTTAATAAAAATATATTTGAGGGATTTAACTCTTTATTTGATTTGGTAAAAGTCCATTTCAAATATAGTTTGAATATGTTTTTGAGTGTTACTCAAACAAACACGAAGAATGATGGAGTTGGCTTCCCTCCACTAAGGAAGCCTTCTCTGTCTCTCCACTAAGGTAGGAAAAAATCTAGACATTTTAAATTTAATATTTTTTATTTTTATTTTTAATTTATGTTTTTAAAATAAAAATGTATAAAATTTGTAAATTTTTTTAATAAATATACTTATCAATTTGATAGTTCAAATTTAATATGAATAGTCTAAATTTAATATTAAAATTTTTTAATAAATTTATTGCTCTGTTTAGAAAATATCCACACGGTCCAAAATATATGTAAAAAGCCAATTTAAATTTTTAATATTCAATTTGCACCATCTATATTAAATTTAAATTGTTAAATTGATAAGTATATTTATTAACTTTTTTTATAATTTTTATATATTTTTATTTAAAAAATATAAATTAAAAATATTCAATCTCAACGATTTAGATTTTCTTCTGCGTAGAGAAGGCATTCCAAGAATGATAGAGAGTGTGGTTATACTATAATTTGTGTACCGTTAAGTCCCTCTCGTCAATCTTCAAATTCCAACACTTCAAACAAAGCAGGTGGAATAATAATAGGGCGGGTGATAATGGAAAAGAGAAACCTAAAGGGACAAAAGAGTCGGCAATTTTGACTTTTTTCTTTATGAAGTGTCATTTGTCCAATCTCGACATTAAGTTTTAAGAAAAATTACAATCATATAAAAAATTAATTATTATAAAATTTATTAACAATTAAATTAAATTATATTAATAATTAATTGTATTGTCAATATAATTTAATTTAGTTATTAATAAATTTTATAGTAATTAATTTTTTAGTGTAGGTCTTTAATGTAATTTTTTTTAAGTTTTATCCATAAAACTAAAGGTTCATATCAAGAAAAAAAATATGCAACGATTTCTTTGGTTAGAAATATTTTGGATAGCATCTAAATTGATAGATTTAAATTTAAAATTTACATATTTAAAATTATGTTTAGATAGTGTAAGAAATTTTAAAGATTGATAAGAGATTATAGTTGAAAACTTGAAATTCAAAGCAGAAAAAAAAAATAAGAGTGACAAGGTTACATTTATTTTTTAAATAAAGAGAAATAAAGGACGAGAGATGAGACGAAAAATGAGAGTATTAAAAGCATTAACAATAAAACCATGAAAAAAATGATAAGAGTAACTAAAATTGGAAATAATTATTATGTAGAGAGAATTTAAAATTATAAAAAGGTTATAATAAAAATATAGATTTTGAATTGAATCAAATCTTAATATATTTTTGTATCTAAATTAAAGATTTAATTCAAATTTAAATTTAAATTCTCATATGTTCAAAAGCAGCCTTAATAAATTTTTCCTCCTTTCTCACCCAATCCTCTTTTTTATTATTATTATTATTATTATTATTATTATTATTATTATTTTCATAACATTCTTACCTAATCCCCTCTTTCAAGGAATTTGGTTTGGCCTAAAAAAAATGAAGAACTTGGCCAAAATTTTGTTTGAATTTTTCAAATATTTCTCATCCCCTCCTCTCTATAAATATCTTCCCTCTTGTTAAAATGTTCTTATTAAACCAAACACGACATCATCGACGTAAATGTTCATGTGATTCCCTTTTTGTTGGAGCTTTGGAGAACAAATGTTACTGAAGTTATTTGAAAAAATAAAAAAAAGTCCAAACTCACATGCATAATTTTAATTTTAAAATTTCTCCTCTCACTAAGAAAATACATTTTTTTTCCTACGCAGCTTATTTTTCTGCTTTTTTTATTTCCCCTATTTTTATTTAAAAATTTAATTTTAAATCATTCAATAATTACTATAAAAAATTAGGTTCAAAAAGAATTTTTCTAACTACTGTGCCTCAGGTAGTCTATGGTTTTCTCAAAATATTTTATTCTACAACTTTTACAAAGACTTAAGAAAATAATATAAAAAATATGACATATTATTTTAGTTTAAAAAACATAATTTTAGGCCCCTATACTTTGGTCGTGTTTTGTTGTTGGTCCCTATACTTTTATTTTTTAATATTTTAAGTCCCTATACAAATAAAGTGTAGGAATTTTGAAGAGACCTAAAATATTGAAAAAAATAAAGTGTAAGAACTTAAAATACTTAAAAAAAGTATAGGGACTTATAGCAAAATATAAGTAAAATATAAGGACTTAAAATTATATTTTCTCTTTTAGTTTTTAAGAAATAATAATGGAGTTAGCATTTCAAGTCTTAAAAGAGGAGATGACTATTTGATCCCTAGTAAGAAGATAAATTAAAGAGAATTCCCTTGTCACAAAGTCATCATATGTGTGTGTTAATTTTTCATTTTTTTTAACAAAATTTTTAGAGATTTATTGCATTTTTTTTCCCACTTTTATAAGTCAGTTCTTCAAATTTTATTAAACTTTTGCTTCACCAGTTTTTATATCAGAACGTTTTGCAAGGATTTCATTTTTGTGTGATGATTCATAACTTTTTTTACAACTAATCTTTTTTTTTTTTCCATGTTCTCCCCACATAAATAAGGACAATACACAATGATATCTTGGAAAGGTATTTGAGATTTTTCTAACATTAAAATCAGTTGGCCCAAAATAATGTTTGAAGAGTGTGAGTAATAAAATAAAAATTCATTAAAGTTTGAAGAGCTAGTGTGAAAAATAAAGCACATATGTATTGGCCATCAAACAACTGAATCATATAGGGGGTGAATTGTTATTAATATTTTACCAACATTTTTTTAAAAAAAATTGATATTTCCATTTCTATGATGATTTACAAGTGTTTCTCCAGACCTTGGGCGTTTGGAGTGAAACTTCGATATTTACAACTCATCATATATGCTTTTTGACATGTTCTTCCGAATTTCACAGGTCAGATTTGTCTATAACTCTTCCTCCTATCTCTACGATTTAATTTTTTAAATTTTACCACTATTACTTGTGAAGAGTAATATATATGTATATCTTTGTTAAGAGTATGACATCAGTAATTAACTAAAATATCATCATAAGAAAGTGTCAAAGTCAAAAATAAGAATTAAGAATAGTATGAGCAAGGTCCGCGTGCTTATATATTTCCAAGTTGTAATTAAGATCTTGATCTCTTCATATAGGTTGAGACAAAATAAAAAAACCAAAAAAAAAAAAAAGAAAGATACAAATTGTGCTCTATCTTTTATCTAAATTTTGCAACTTTACACCTTTTATATTGAATAAAAAATTTTCAAGCTCAATAGTTTATTAGATATAAAATAGTTTAATGATTTATATAATATATAAAGAATATATTTATATAAAAGATCATGTTAACCTGTTCAATATATTTTTTTAAAAACAAAAATCAATCTATTTATATTATTATAATTTTAATATTTTTATTAAATTATCCCACACCCTGCTTATGGGTATTGACTCTGCCACAAAATGTATAAATTATTGATCCCCATGAAACATTCAACGTTTCCAGATTATTGTATATATCGATTAAATATATATATATATATATATATATATTCTCGACAAGATAATGCCCAAAGCGTGTGATTCAAAGAATATAGTTGTCTTCAGGTCAAAAAGAAAAAGAAAAAGGAATATCGTTGTCTTTAAAATGGTTGAAAGAAAGAAAGAACGCTTGTCATGATAAAAAGAACCATATTTTATAAAAGTCTCAGCAATATTGATTCTACAATTTCTTGTCATTTGGCTTTTCAAGCTTTAACATCTAATCAAAAAGAAAAAACGCGTTTTCCCGTTTTTCCAAATCTCTTTCCTTTGTAATTTGCCCGAAAATTGTTTTTTATTTTTTTATAAATTAAAATTGTATTAAAAAATTAATTTTTAATAACATAAATTAACATTAAAATTAAAGTTATATTTTTATGTTTTAGATTTTTAAAATTCAAGTGGAGCTTTTGTAGATATAATTCATGTTATAACATCAAATCGAGCAAACAATCCAACAATTATTATATTTTGCATTATGGTCGGTTTATTATATTTGTTAACGAGATATCGTTGATATATCAATAATAAATTTTTTATAAATTTTTAAATTTTAAATGATAAATCTCTTATATATCAATATAAATTGGCCATACTCTCAAATTTTTAAAAATTTAATTCATAATTTCTAGGCACAATAATTTTTTTTTCCTAGTAAGCCAATTTATCCAATTTCAATTGTAATCCTTTGTTTAAAAATATAAGATATTTTTTAATAGATTGAAAATTTAAAAAAATGTAAAGCTTTTTTAATGTTCTAAAATGTAATTAATGTACTTTTTTAAAAAAAATATTCATTATAAATAAAGCATGTCACCACTCAAACACACACAAATCATTTAACCCTCACTTTACTTTCACAAAAAAGGAAGTAATTCCATAAGTGTGGCACTAGTCCAACTAATAGCAACCAATCATTAAACATTCAATTAAATGTATCCTATTATTCATTTGCACGAGTGATTTGGTCACACATTACAATCTCAACAAGAGATACACTATCTAGACCAAATTATCATAATAACAGGTTACA